ATATATACACACATTAGGTAAAGAAAATGGAAATATTTAATTAATTAATTCCTGCGCTTCTGCTGGAGAGGACTGAATTTAAAAGCAATTATTATAGTAATTTTTTGTTAAAAAAAACATTAATACTGTCTCATGTTAATTGGAATGAAAGTTTAGAGTCGTAAACATCCCAAAGTCTTAGCACATGTATATACATTCACATAAAAGTGAAACAAAAATATATATATATATCTGCAGGAATTCAAAAATAAATTAAATTTAAATAATTCTCTTGCCACCATTGCTGCAAGGAATGAAATTTGAATTTAAAAAACATTTTCTATTCGTAAAAAGCAAATTAAAAGTTAATTAAATTTAAATGAAATTTAATGCAAACAAATAAAGGATTAATTATTGCTGCGAACTAATATACAATATCATTTAAATTCTGAGAGCATATGTAAATCAAGTGCAAGTATCAAAATCCATGAATAATATATAATTCCAAAAATTTATTTATCCTATTATTCACTTATGCATTTTTATAAATTTTTTAGGATTAAATCTATCCTATTATTCATTTATGCATTTTTATAAATTTTTTAGGATTAATAAGCTATCCTATTATTCACTTATGCATTTTTATAATTTTTTAAGGATTAACAATCTATCCCATTATTCACTTATGCATTTTTATAAATTTTTTAGGATTAATAAATTTTTGGAATTGTATATTTATTCATGGATTTTGATACTTGCACTTGATTTACATATGCTCTCAGAATTTAAATGATATTGTAGATTAGTTCGCAGCAATAATTAATCATTTCTTTGTTTGCATTAAATTTCATTTACAATTTAATTCACTTTAAATTTGCTTTTTATGAATAGAGAATGATGTTTGTTAAATTCAAATATATATATATGTACAGGATATGCTTTAAATTAGTATTATATAATTTTCAAACTTTTTTGCGGGAAAAATTTAAATAAATAAGAGCATAAATAAAACAATATATTTAATGCATATAATAATAGAAATTAATTATAAAACACGAATATAGATCAAATTGGAATAAAAAGGTAAGAAAGTTGCAGACAGGGTGCAAAAAGCGTATGGGATTCGAACTCACGACTCCAAAAAAAAATGAACATCCTTACCATCAACTTTACCACTAAGCTAGAATTGCACGTGAGTCTCATGCATATTTTGGCTTATATACATCATCAACTAAATCAATTCTTAAAACTTAAGTTTTTTGGTCCTATTTCAGTGTGCTATCGTCTGAAAAATTTACCAGAGTTTGTTCTTCAGCTTCTAGTACAATTTTTACAAAAATCATTATCTTTTAAAGTGGCGTTCAGATTGAAGTTAAACGGGCTGCTAAAAATATATTTCATGTGCTTACAAATGTATGTTATCCAAAAAGATATATTTATAAAGGGAAATACAAATTTAACATACTCTTCAATGAACTGGAGTATTTAAAAGGCTATCAAATTTAATTTATAATCAACGTTTTTAGTTTTTACCTGTTTCAAAAGAAAAAATAGCAAATCTTTTAATCATATCTAATTTGCTATAGCAGTTTGATATAGTCAGACATTCATTTTCATTAAAGCTAAATAAGTATGCAGTACTAAAATATGATTATCAGAACAAATTTTGCTATTTCATGGACTTGGAATTATAATTTTTGCCGCTGATTTCCTTGAACTGAATTTCTTGAACGAACAAGTACTGTAGTTGCAGTTATCTTGTTTTTCTTATCTTTTTTTAACTAAATTCAGCTGATTGCTGTCTTTTTCAGCACGCATATTTCTCGCTATAATGTTAATTCAGAAATAAGTATTTTTTAGCAAAACATTCTTTCCTTATTAGCGAGCGTTCATCGCTACTTCTGCCGCCATTAATTTTTAGTGACTGCACCTGATTGCTCCTTTTCAACCACCACGTGACCCCAATGCATCCGCAGACATACGGATAGAAGTTGAACATTGTTGAACTCCATCCATATGTCATCCGTCACCGACACGACGGATGCAGATTCTCGAGTGAATTCGCTCGCTGATTGGAGAAACGTATCGCATGGAAAGGGCCTGAGGTTTGAGATACTTTTCCTGATAATAGGGCTTTATTTTTAAGGATTATAATAATCAAAAAATGGAATGAAATTATCGCCATTGTCAGTGTCTCATAGTAGAGTCTATCCAGAAAGTAGATTACGTTTTGGAATAAAAAAATAAACAAAGTATAGGAAACAAATTTTATTATATACAGATGAAAGCCACACTCAAATACTACTTTTCTACATAGTCACCATACAAATTAAGGCATTTATCGTAGCGATGTACGAGCTTGGAAATTCCTTCGTCGAAAAATTCGGCCGCCTGCGCCTTCAACCACTTCGTTACCTCTTCTTGCCTTCCATCTTGCACAAAACTTGTGGTAACCAAGCTTTTCGCTGATGATTTCGTGCAACAAACTTCGCGAAATTTGTGGAAAACTCAAAGAAAGTTCCGTTATTGTGAAATTTCGATTTTCACGGACTTTAGCATCGACTTTTTCGAGAAGTTCGGCGGTCACTATGCTGGGTCTCCCACTTCGATCTTCGTCGTGAACATTGGTTCGGCCATTTTGAAATCTTATGACCCACTGACGCACTCCACCTTCAGTGATAATGTTGTCCCCATACACTTCACGAAGCTGCCGATAGATTTCTATCGGTTTACAGTTTTTTGCAGTCAGAAACCTTATTACTGAGCGCACCTCGCGGGATTTTCAATTAACGCAGACATTTCAAACCGTCACAGTATCTGAACGGAGCACAGCACGAACCTCTCACTAGCACGGCTAGATGCAGACTGAGCTGCGCAACGCTCTGACCCCAAGATGGCCGCGCTAGCCCCGCCCCTAGCGGACACAGACGGAAACGTAATCTACTTCCTGGATGGCCCTCGTATGTACCATTTTCCTTTTGTTATGCTTTATATTTTAATTTGTAGTTTATAATGATACAACTTTGTAGGGATTTCAGTAAGTTTATTATAGTGCATTGGTTTCTTATTATTTGGATTTCTGCGATGTAATTCTTGGTCAGAATTTGGCAGCATGGTATATGTAGAGCTTCTTAGAAGTGTGTGTGGGTGGCAAAGTCACTTGAATGCAGTCATTACCACCAAAAGAACAAGGCCTTGTTTGGCACTGAGATTATGACATTACTAGTATTGGGTAAAGGCAGAGTCAGTGATGGTGATGGAAAGAACATACTTGCTGTACATGCTATGTAAATTATAAATATGAGATTGTTTCACTGTTTAAAAATCCCCTCCTCCAATATTGATAGTCTATTAATTGAGCATGTTTCCTTTTAAATTATCGAATTTAAGACATTTACTAAGGTTTTTTACTAATGAATTACAATAATTTTTTTTTTTTTTTTATTTTAGGTTGCTTGTGAATAATTCATATTTTTGTTGCAATACATGTACTTGGTAAACACATCTGTAGCACAGCAAATACTACATGATTCATAAACAGCTTGATACTTAAGCATTTGTTTCCATTCAAACATTATTTATTCAAAACATTGCAGTTTTTCAGTATAATAAACTTAATATAATTTGTGCAGTTTTAAACTCTGTGTACCAACTTCAAAATCAGCGCATTATTAGGTCAATCAAAACTAATGCTTAATCGTATAAAAAGTACTGCAGAACTGCTTTAAAATTTTTCAATTTTTTCAGAACCATGCAGAATCTGTATTACTTGGATTTGTAAAAAATTTATATGCATAGAGAAAAACAAAATATGAAATAGTGAAGAAAATGTAGGTATATGATAAATAATGAATGCCTTCCATTTTAAAAATAAAATTTGAAAGTTGTTTTATAATGAATACTACAGTTTCCTGCTTATTATCATCATTATTTACAGTTGTGAATACACAAACAGCTGATGCACAAAGCACTAAGAAAAAAAAATGTTGGAACTATGGAACAAATTATCAACACAAAAAAGTTTTCCCCTGCAGTTTTTCTATTGTATCTCGAAATAGTACTTTACTCCCCAATAAGTTGGTAGCCATTTTTAGACTTGTGCTCAGTATATAATATTCCATGTTCTCGAAGGAAAAAAAAATTACTGCATGTATATGTAGTTGATAATGCAAAAGCATGAAGAATGTGCTGTTTATTTTCCATCAACAAAAAATTTTTAATGGTCAGCATTTTCGAGGGAAAAAAGTAACTAAAGAACAATATTGTGCAGTTTAAATTGAGCATGAAAATAAAGTGTTGCATGTTATAAACACTATAAAAAAATTACTGTTTCTTTTCCAACTTATTATAAATTTAAAATAATAAACATTTTAGGTAAACAGCTGTAATAAAAAAATCTGAAAATTAAATATATTGCATATTAAAAATCTAACAATTAAAGTTTGCCAATTCTGAGGACTCAGTTATCACTTAGACAGGGATGTACCAAATTTTATTAAAAATATGTAGAATTGCCTGATAAATTTTGCCATTTTTAATGCGGTAAGAAATCTTGTAGCTAAAGTGAATATTTTGTTTATTATGTTTTGAATAATATTTATAACTAATTAGAAATCTGAATAATTTAACTTTAGACTTTGATAAAGTTAATACGAAATAAAGTGAATAAAATCCTCTTTTAAAATTAGATTGCATATTGCTGAAAATTGGTAAGGCTATTTATGTTATAAATATGCTGGTAGAGGCACCTTTTGCTTTTATCATCAGCTGCTGTCATGATAAATAATAATATGGAAGAATAATATCTTGTTTTGGTCCAAAACATGTGAGGTTATGAAAATTGTGGTAATGAATATATATATATATATATTTGACTAGGCACTTTTATCATGAAATGCTGTTGTGCTTAATATGATAATTTCTGTTATAAAAGGTAATTGTTGATCCAAAATATTTGAGATTGTGATCTATTGAGTGTGATGATAATTTTTTAAAAAAATATATATTTTTTCCCCTTTCTTGACAGGCAGGGCCTTTGGAGAATGTTGTCATACCAAAAGAGAAGGATGGACGTAGACGGAATTATGGTTTCATTACTTTTAAACATGCTATATCAGTCCCTTATGCTGTTGCTTTAATGAATGGCATTTCATTGTATGGAAGAGCCCTTCGTCTCAATGCCAGGAGTGATGCACAACCTGAACATAATCCATACCTAGAGAAGCTTATGCAGTACAGGAATTCAATGTCCCAGGCCTCACCATCATATAACAACAGGAGTTATGGGCATGACAAGAGAGGATCGTATGATGATAGAAGAGATTCATATGATGATAGATCACGACATTATGACTCTAGGAGATACGAATCAAGAACAGAGCATGACAGAAAAGATTTTGACCCACGTAACTCACCACATGGAATGGCTCCATCTCCTGTATCATATCCTGTTTTTAATAGTTCATATTATTCATCACATAGCCCTCAACATATTCCACAGTCTAATAATCCATTTTTTCAACCACAAAATGCCCCGAGAAGGTATGACAGAAGCAGTTCAAGATCGCAAAATAGATATTAAATTTTAGTTTATATCCCTATTTTATATCTGTATGTGGAATGATTAAAATAATTGTTTTTATTTTCAATAGCCCATACAGAATACAGTATATTTTGTGATAAACCCCTTTAGATCTGTATATATGGAAAATTACATACCTGTGTTAAATTACAAAAATTTCACTTTTTATAGTAAAAAAAATCACCTTTTTAAGTAATTTTGACACCATAATTGACTCAAAGCCATTTATTCTTGAACCAAAACATTTGGTGGTTTTGTCATATAAGACAGAAATGTTTGACAATTAACATTTTTTCTTGATCATTAATAAAAAAATAAGATTTTAGTCATAAAAAGTTATGCATTTAATTTTATTAAAGTAGAAATTTAGTGCTTTATATTTTTTAATTGTGTTTTCATTAGTAATTTTTGTTAAAATTTGAGTGAAGTATGGTCAAAGAATTTACGGATGAGTCTCGAGAGTAATTTTGTTTTGACAGTGTTAGTTTGAACAAGAAAAAAATATTCTAATAAAATAAGTAATAGAAAATTAAAAGTCATATATTATGTTTTAAATAATTATATATTGCTGCTTGATTTATTCTTTGATTTTGATAGCAGAGATGAACTATGAGGATAAAAAAAAAGTAATGCAGTCAGAAGTCTTTAATCCGGACTCGTCGGGACTTCAGCGATTCCAGATTATAGATCATCAGTTTAAATATGGTAAGATGGCATGCAGAAATTATAAAATTAAAAATATGAAACCGTAATTTATGAAATAAAGAGCAATTATGATCTAAAAGGTATTCAAATTTACAAAAAAAAACTTAATATTTATTGGTTTACTTTATTAAACATTTCTTTCAATGTGTGCATGAGTAAAGCATACATTACACATAGGCGAAATTAGAAAATTGCAACCAGAAAACTATTTGTGTATTTGTGATATTTATAATCACGAAAAATTTGATTTAAATCAATATCAAAGACAGAGTACATCGAGTTGAAATACTACATTTAGTAAGGAATTATAAGGCGAATAAAATAAAAACATCTGCCCTGACAGATCAACTTCCAGTTCATTGCCTCGCTGCGACATCCCCCCCTTGTGGAGCAGCGTGAAATTGATAAACAGATTTCGGAATGGTTGAAGAAACAAATCACATCTCTGTCACTTTCTTCATGCCTTTATCCATTTTTTGCAGCAATTCCACTTTTTGTTTAATGAAGATCGAAACATGCTTTCACTTTGCAGATTCCTATTGCAGCTCCAGAATTGGAAATTCTTTTTGACATATCGAAAGTTCAAGCTTACTTTTATAAAATTGCTCTAACAGTCTGCAAAAAATAATAAGCTGGATCCAATTAGAAGATTAAGGAACAATGCAATCTGCAACATTAACTGAAATAGATAATTTTAGCTTAGCTTATACCGTCCAATATACATTAAACGTGCATGCGTAAATGTACTATGCGCATGCGCAGAAAGTTTGTAGCTTTGAGGTCTGCATTAAAGACTTGACTGTACCAGTTTTTCCTGTGTCAGTATAAAGAACATGCACCAAGGGTCAGCAAAGGTGAATCTCAGTCAAATATCAAATGTATCTAGATATAAAAATATCATTGTCCCACCCCCTTGCAAATGGTTTAGCACTTGCTTCTCAAGCTATCATCGGGATAACTGAACCCATCAGTCATAAGTCATCTCATCGCTGTGAGCATTGCCCAGAGTGCACCACAAGGGTAGTTCTGTTTTTCTCAATCTTTGTAAATCAGCTAATGCTAAAATTTGAAATTTTTTTGTGCATGACATACAACATAAGCTTTAAAGCAGGAGTGGCATTTTTTTTTTTTTTTTTTTTTTTTTTAAATCAAGGGTGAGATGAAAAAAGGACATTGCTGGCGAAAATAATTCTTCAGTAATAAAGAAAAAAAGAAAAAATAACAGTCGTGTCATAGACATGGAATTGGCTCTACCTGGTTCAGATTATTACTTTTATTTAAAAAAATATGCAAATGCTGATTGATCTAAACATATTTATTTAAAAATCATATAAAATATTCAACAAATCTCGAACGTAATGCAATACATAAGCGCAGGGCAGATTCAGCAGTATCTCTTCAAATAAAAGATAATGTTGCTTGCATTTTCTCTTTGAAATTTTGCAGGCTGTCACATTTCTTCTTTTAATACTGATTATATTTAGGCATCATAACATCATTTAATCATTGAAAATCCTACCTACCTAATATGATATGAAAAATAATAATTTGTTCAGTGCTTTCTTGCCCCTAGACCTGGATACTCATCTTTAACTGAAATCCAGAGTGTTTCAAGAGTATTTTCAAGGAACTTCTATTTTAATCCATGATCTGAAGAGAGTGACATCCTTTGTCTTTCTTAATTCAAAGTAAAACTGTTGAAGTTGGAAGAAATAAAGGGATTGCTTATCCGTTGTTCAATTTTTAACAATGGAAAATATTTTCCAGAATTCTCTTCTGTTGTTTTTAAATGTTAGATTATTAAAGAAATGATTGCTTCATTTGTTTCATGCATGAAGTGAACATATCTGTGTTTCTTTTTCTTCCTGTTTCTTTTATAATAATTGTATGTAGCTTGTTAGTCAATGTTTTATTTGTTTGCTTACATACTTAAATTGACAGTATGAATGTAAGCAAAAGTATCAGCAAAATTATTGTATAAGATATCGTTTTCTATATATTTTCCAATAATGTTGTTTTTTTTTTTTTTTTTGTGGGGGGGGGGGAGAAAAAAAACTCTTAATTTATTTCTTAATTAGAATATTATTTAAAATTTTTCCGTGTGACAGCCACCTCTTTTCTGTACAAAGAACTAAACATACTTCCATAACTAAGCAAAAATTTTTTAAACAACATTTTAAAAATTTGGCTCTTTAATGATCTAATTCTAATAAAATTAACTATGGAAGCTCCTTTATATAATCCTTTGTTTAGTTTAGCCTTTATGTATTTATGATCAGTGTAGTGTGGTTGTAATTAAAAGTCACTTTATTTAGACCTATGTAGAATCTGTTCTGGTTAACCTATTTTGTTAAAACTTGGTATATACATTATGCAGATCATGAGAGAAAGTGCAATAAAAATAATTGTTCAAATTTTGACTACTGGGTAAGAAATGAGCACATGAAGAACAAAACACACCACATAAGAAACATGAAACTTCACTTAATAACAGCATATTTTCAATGTGCATTCTATTTGCATTAATCACACTTTCAAAATATGTTCAACAATAGCATAAATAGTTTTTGGTTCAGTTGCAGCAACATGATGTGTTATGCTTGCTTCCAAGTTAGGCATAGTTTGTAAGCTTCCTCAGTAGACACGACCTTTCAAGAATTCCTGCAAGTCATAGGGACTCGAATCTAGAGAACGAGTAAGCCAGGCAATTGAAAAACTCATTATTACCGTATCATCTCCAATGTGGGCGTGAAGCAGTGCCTTTGCTAGTCTGCTAGTGTGAGGAGGTACACAATCTTGCGTGAAGACAGTAATTGTAGTGTCGCTTCAGTTCCGTTAAGTTTCTAATGAAATTTAGTTAAAGCGGAATGGCAACACCTTCTAGTCTACGCGAAGAACGAAGTAAACAAACTTCGAGTTTTTGTCACGCGATGCTACGTGCATGTAAAATGTAAATAAATCTTATGAATAAGAATCTATAACATCGTAAGGAATAAAATATTGGTTCCATTAGGAGTCAGAGAAGTGTTATTTTTCTATATTTGCACACACCAGACACTTCACTGGTGTATCCCGGCGTGATCGAATTCTACAATGGCTGACGAAGACGAAACCGAAATTAAAGCAACAACTGCATCTGTCGCCAAGGTAAGCGTTAAAGTTCCTCCTTTTTGGAAGCCAGATCCTAAAATATGGTTTATTCAACTAGAAGCACAATTTAGAAATGCAAAAATTAGTGCAGATCAAACAAAATATGATTATGTTATAAGTTCCATTGAACCCGATATTTTGTCACAGGTATCTGATATTTTGCTAAGTCCACCACAAGATAATAAATATTGAGGCAATTAAAAATAGACTAATTTCATTATATGCTGATTCAGAGACTCAAAAAACCCAAAAATTACTGAGTGAGTTAGAACTGGGTGACAAAAAGCCATCTCAATTACTGTGTGAGATGCGTAATTTGGCTGGCGATAAAGTAACAGATACTTTCCTAAAAACATTGTGGCTACAACGTTTACCCGTTAATATGCGTAGCATTATATCTGTTAGTAGTGAAGATTTGTCAAAAGTGGCTACAATGGCCGATAAGATTTGGGAATTAAACCCTGTTACTCCCCAAATAGCTGCTGCATCATCCATAACGGTAAAAACGGAAGTGATTGAAAGTTTACAAAAAAAAAAAAAACAGGTTAGTGAACTTAGCTTACAAGTTTCTGCTTTAAACAAGCAACGCCACAGTTGTCCCTATTGTCGTAACCGATCCAAATCACGAGATAGGAGTTACAGTGGTAACAGATCTAGTGATATTTGTTACTATCATAAAAAATTCGGTGATAAGTCATTTAAGTGTAAACAACCCTGCAACTACTCATCAACATCACAGACAAATAGTCCGGAAAACCAGCTCCACGTCTCTCACTGACGACGGAGGGACAAGGGGTGCAGCTGAGTCGTCTTTTCATCAGCGACAAAGAATCGGCTACCCAATTTTTAATAGATACTGGGGCAGAAATTTCTGTCATTCCTCCCTTGCCTGCAGATAAAAAAAAAATCTCAAAATTAGAACTCTTTGCTGCAAATGGTACGAAAATTAAAACATATGGCCAAAAATTACTCAAGCTTGATCTTGGACTCAGACGATCATTCACATGGCCTTTTGTAATTGCGGACGTAAACAAACCGATAATAGGCATGGATTTTCTTGCAAATTTTAACCTTTTGGTAGATTCTAAAAATCGCAAGTTGATTGATGGTACTACATTCTTAACAACCAATGGAACTCCTTGTTTTCAAAATAACAATAATAATATTCCGATTTTAAATGCCGTAAATGATCCATATAAACGTATCATTAACGATTTTCCGGATTTGTTAAAACTCAATGTAGTTAATAATAAAGTTAAAAATCATAACATCGAACATTATATCGAAACCAGAGGTCCACCAGTTTTCGCTAAAGCCAGGAGACTATCAGCTGAGAAACTTAAAGCGGCTAAAAAGGAGTTTGAATTTATGCTCCAAATGGGTTTATGCAGGACCATCCAAAAGTAACTGGTCGAGCCCACTACATCTCGCTATGAAGAAATCAGGTGATTGGAGACCTTGTGGAGACTATCGAGCGTTA